CCCCCCCCCCCCTCCCCACACACACACTACCATAAAGTAAAGTTAGAAAAAAACAAGGGCATCTGTAATATGATTCATGCCCAAAGTAACATATCACATAATGTGTAGAGATGGACTGCTGAAGAAGACACCTACACGATGCAAGCTTCAGGAGTTGTTGGCAGACATTTAGGCTGGGCTCACATCTAGGCGCATCGAATATGCGCGTTTGTCACGCGTTTTGTGCCGTGCGTTTTTACCGCGATACGCGCATTTCTGAGGGCTACCTGGCTGTATCCCAATGGATACGCGTGGCAAATACGCCCCAAAGAAGCTCCTGTACTTCTTTGGGCATAGGGCATTTTGTAGCGCGTTCATACGGCCTGTAATACGCCCAGGTGTGAACTATACCCATAGGAAATAATGGGATTTCGGTGTTTGAGCGTTTTGCAGAGCATAGGAACGCGGTACAAAACGCCTAGGTGTGAACCGTGCCTTACTGCAGACCAAAGCAATGCAACATCCAGGCTAAATAGCAATGTACTAAACCTAGGCAGAGTGACTATTTACAATCAGTCCTTGCAAATGAAAGGATCCCCTAGCGTACATTCTGGTTATATAGATGCATACATCTGTATAGTTAAAGCTGAACTCAAAATGTTTAATTTTGTTTTGAATAGAGACTTAAAGGGTTAGAACCATTCTCAGGTTTTTATCCCAGTCTGTGTCCTCATCCGGTAGATTTCCCCTGAGGGCCGGGGGAGACCTGAGCGATCCGGGACGCGTGTCCTGGGATTGCACGGCCATGCACAATTGCAGACAGCAATTGTACAACCGCACGGCAATCGCAGAAAAAAGTTACATGTACCTTTTTTTTGTGATACACGACATGCGACTGTTTTAGCCGCGATCGTGTTTGGATGCACAGGTGGAATTACGGCGAAAATATTGACACCCACAGCACGATCGTTGTTTATGGGCGACTCCGTGACCGCGTGGCAATCCGCGCGGTATTGTGCATCATTGACGAGCGGTCACGGATCGCCCAGGTGTGCACCTGGCCTTATTTGTGCCAGCGACAGCAGAAGACATTATGGAAAATGTCTCCAAAGGGGAATGAGATGGCAATAAAAACACTTTTTTCTTTTAGTATACTGAAGGAATGCCTTTCTATACAAGTGACACGGTTTTCCCTTAGGCCAGGTTAACACCTGTGCGCTCCTTGACTGCGCGGCAATCGTGTACGATACCGCACGGTATTTTTGCACAGTCACAGAGTTGCCTGCTACCTACAATAGCGCATTGTGTGCCATTATTTTCTAATAATTATTTTCAAAATTATTCAAAATTATTTTCATTATTTTCTTGACTATTGCAACTCCGTCCTCATTGGCCTACCTCTACACAGTCTATCATGAATGCAGCTGCTAGACTCATCCACCTGACCAACCGCTCTGTGTCTGCAACCCCCCTCTGTCAATCCCTGCACTGGCTTCCAATAGCCCAAATGCTAAATTCTAAATATTAACAATCATTTATAATGCCATCCACAACTCTGCCCCCGGCTATATCTCAAACCTTGTGTCAAAATATCACCCTAACCGTCCCCTCCGCTCCTCCCAAGACCTCCTGCTTTCCAGCTCCTTGTCAACTCCTCCCATACTCGCCTCCAGGACTTCTCTAGAGTCTCTCCCATCCTCTGGAACTCTTTACCCAAACCTGTCCGTCTGTCTCCCACTGTGGCTGCCTTTAGGTGTTCCCTAAAGACTCATCCCTTCAGGGAAGCCTATCCCACCTCAACCTAACCACTGAACCATCACGTTCTCAAACAATTCATCCCCTCACAGCTACCTCCTCATGTATCACTTCTCCCTCCCTTTTAGACTGTAAGCCATCACGGCAGGGCCCTCCTTACCATCTTGTCTTGAATTGTATTGATTGTAATGTCTTCCTTACATTGTAAAGCGCTGTGCAAACTGTTGGCGTTATATAAATCCTGTATAATAATAATAATAATGGCACCCTGGTCGAGCCGAGCGGATTTGTGCGGTTTCCCAACACGATTCCGCCCATGCAACTGAACACGCGGCTAAAACAGCCGTGCATCGTGTATCGCAAAAAAAGGTACATGTACCTTTTTGTTCTGCGATTGCAACGCAGATGTATCCCGTTGAAATCAATGGGGTCGCGCGGCAATCACTGTCTGCAATTGTGCACGACCGCGTGATTTCGGGAACGCGCATCCCAAATCGCTCAGGTCTGCACCTTATTGTGGAGGTCAGGGCCGTCTTTACCATGGGGCAAATGGGTCAGGTGCCCCGGGCCCTATAATTTACAGGGGCCCACAACAGCTTCCCTTTTCCCTTGCTGGGGGCCAGCAGCAGACAGAGAAAGAGCTGCAGCAGCGCACGTAGGGAGAGAGAACGGCCGTTCATCCTCTGTAGCAGCCGGCCTCTGTGAAGAGACTGTCCAGCCGTCCGTGCGTGTCTCCTGCTGTGATCTCCTCCCCCGATAAGTGCAGACAAATATAGCAATAAAACCTGATATGGATTCTA